GAGCGGACTCATAAATTTATTTTCAGAAAAAGAAGAAGCTCGAAAATGAAAAGCGAAAATCGTGTAAATGGAAACCGGATTTTTGCATATGCCGAGGTTATGGAGAAGATACTTCCATTATTTTCTCACGCGCTTAAAAGGTCGTGTACAAATCACTGATAAGTAAGACTCAAATTTGACGGCGTAAGAGGAGAGCGTATAATACACGGTCTGAGATTCGAGTTATGATAAGCTTAAAAGAGGGTTTGACAACACATGGGGTTGTCCATGTGATTACCTGCCAACCAGGCAGCCCTACCAGGAACCAGCTCACTAAAACCCCACTGTCTCCAGTTTTGTCTGAACGATAACCCAACATAGTTGTCCCCATCAAATCCAATCACATTTTACCACGTGGCTTGTGTTCATGCAACGTGGGCAACTACAATGACATGTGAGTGTGAAAATATGGAAAGGACAAATAGGGCGATGGCATGCCCATGCCCCATGCTAATGATTTAAAAGAGCGTGAAACATAGTTGTCTGAAATTAGAAATAATTATAGAAACTATCAATTATAATGCGTGAGAAAAAAATTTAAAAAAAATATTGTTTAATTTAAATTGTATAATATAAATTATTAACTTAAACAGACCCTTAAATGTTAAAATTGTTTCTTTTATATAATATAAATTATGAAATGTTGAATTTAAAAAAAAAATCTGATAACAAAAAAAGTCATATATTATAGGGTGTGTAACAAAGTTTAAAATATTCTTATTTAAAAAATAAATTCTTATTTTATAAATTTAAAATGTAATTAGAATGAAATTTAAAAATTTTCTAAATAAATTTTTTAAAAAAATTTCTTATATTTAATTTTAAAATATTTTTAAAAATTAATTTTTAAATTCTTCATTAACATTTTTTAAAAAAATTTCTTATATTTAATTTTAAAATATTTTTAAAAATTAATTTTTAAATTCTTCATTAACAAAATTCTAAATTTATATATAAAAAAAATTACATTTTAAAGTGAGTGCTTTTTAAACTATGCCTAACACCCTCATAATTGTGGATAGTGGAAAGGAATTTGCTCGAGTTTGAATTGGAAACTTTGATGTCATCGCTTGCATCTCAGATTCTCAAGTAGAAGTGTGTGGCTGACAAGTAACTTTAAAAGAATAATAATGTAACGAAGAAAAGATTATGTAAGTTGAATGGGGTATACTATTTTAATTCTTTTTTTTTTAACATCACTGGAAAAACTTTATTTTAATTCATGGATAGGAGAGATTTGGGGATGACTTGGGCGCGTGTTAGGCAGATCATATTTCAAGGAAACCTAGGTAATTTAAATTGTTTTTGACTTGGGTTTCCAGTGAGAGGGATTTGAAAATGATTTTTAAGTGGGAAATTTCCAACTTTCTTAGAAGTTTCCAATTTTTGTAGTAATATATGAAAGAGATTGGAGTTTGCTGCCAAGGTTGAATTAGTATTTAAAAAATGTCAAATAAACAATATGGATTTTAAAAACTGTATGAAACAAGTACAAAGGGATGTAGAAAATAGATATGAAATAGGTAAAAAAAAAAAGAAAAAAAGAACCTTCACTTCAAGTTCTAAGACTTGATAAAAACTCTCTTTCTATTTTAGCCGTTTAAGATCGTTTATAGAGTGAAATGAACAAATTCAAATCGCGCTGACTTTTAAGATATCATATGGATCCAAGTGGCCAAAAAATTTGCCATGGAGTGGAAGCTATAGTACCATAGCAGTGCCTCTAGTTTGAGATTACAAAATTAAATACTAATAGTTATTTAAATTTTTTATTTTTATTTTACCAAAATAATTACAATACATATTTAAATAAATATGTATATTTTAGAGTGTATTAGGTAGATATAAATATGAAATTTTATTAATTATTAATCATTTTAATGATTAAATTAAATTAATAATTTTTAAGATAATTTTAATAACATTGACAATTTGAGTGGTGACCACAACCACCACAATCCTTCAATATTAAAGAATTAATAATTAATATTGTATAATTGATTATATATAACACTTTTTTATATGTTATTTTAATTGATCTCATACTCAACTCATTTTTGGTAGTAATTTTTTAACAAAAAAATATAAAAAAAATTTTAAATAATTGATAAGAGCCAAATTCTCAATTAATTGAATTCATACATTAAAGGTTGAATACGAAAACTATTAAATCGGTTCCATTTCTGGTCGTATTAATTAGATTACAGGCTGCAATAATGATAAATCTTTCATTGCAATAGATGATGGACCAAGGTAAGTTTACCTGTGAAGGAGGGTCCATTCGGAATTCCAGATGGCATGGTTAAGGACTCCACGTGGCATCCATGTAATGGTTTGATCTTAGCAAGGCCTGAGTCAAAGTCAAAGAGGGTAAAGATGCTGCGTGTGGCGTGAGCCACCAGATTAGTGGGGGGGGCTGGGGGGGTACAAAATCAAGAAAAATGTGTCAGATTAAACGCATAGTCTCACGAGTCTGGACCCCATTGGACATTGGGCTTCTGACAAAACGGTGTCGCACGCTACGGCTCTGCTCAAGTGCTCAGTGTCCTTTTGGATGGAGAGAAAGGGGTCACGTGAGGAATGCATGCACAGTAACTTGTGCCTAGTGACCAAGTAGTAGACCTAGTCCTTACGTGACCTATGGGTCTTAAAATTTGTACCCCTATTAGGGGAGCACACGGCTTACTTCGGTTACAACCAAGATTGAATTATTAATTAAATTATATTTTTACTTATTTAATTTTTCCTATCATTAATCAAATTGAATAAAATGAATTTTATCAATTTTGATTGCCTTTTTAAAAATAACCATTCAAATTAGTTTTACTTTTAATTAAAATATTATTTTTATATTTTTCTCATTTTTTTTAAATTTATTAATTTTAATTATTAAAAAATAAGAAATACTCAAATAAACAAATAATTAAGTAAAAAATAAAAAGAAAACTTAAAATGAACTTAAAAATTACCAAAATTTTTTTATAAAAACATTTTTAAATTATATTTTTATTACACTAACTTTTAATTATTAATTTTTTTAATTTAGTAACTAAAACTCAAATCATTTGATATTAATTGAGATCATTTTTAATAAAAAAAAATTTTCAAAACTCAATTTAATCTTTCACCAATTGATTATCGTTTCAGTCAGTTTAGACTTTTTTCAGTTGCGGTTTTCCACCCAACCCTAACCCCTACCAGCCATCAGCGACACAAAAGGCATAGCTTACCCCCTATAGTCAAAGGGATCAGTGTTCAGACTCCAGGTCATGCTAGCGGGTATCGAGGACAAGGCTTACTGCAAAGTCTATTTCTATAGCTATTAGATGCACAGCCAATATGCCCAAAAGAGTAGATCATACCAAAAAGAAAGAGGTGGTATTAAGCCCAAAAGAGCAAGCCCAGCTGTGCCCATCAAAATCCAAAGGTTACTTGGCATTAACACAGGGATGGAAAAGTAACACAGGAAGTCGCTCAAACTACCGAAGATATACAGCCTTCAAAATGAAAACAGATACATATCTTATATAAGTTTGACAAACAAAAGTGCAGCTTGATTAGCCTGCATTGCAGTAGCATCATATGAGATCTACCTCCTTCGGAAATGCAGGTTGATAATCAGCTATCGGCTCATAGTCATCCCCAAACAGTGGCAGACAATATGGGCGTGAAGATCTTATTCGTACCTGGTAAACCAAAATGAGAGGAATTAGTAATGAAAAAGGAGGAAATGCATGCTACGAGAGAAGACAAAAAAAGATAAATAAATGGATGTAAGAAACATAACAGGGGAACAGATATACAACCTCATTCCCTCATTCATACAAGTTTCTGCTTCAACTTCAAATTTGATCAAAATAGTATTCCTCGAAGAAGTCATCATAATCATAGGGATAGTCATCTGAGAACTCAAGTTCATAATCATAATCATCATCTGACATTAAACTAATGTCAGAAGGTCCAGATGGGTAGTCTTCATAAGGTGAACCAAAATCATACGATGTGGTATCATATTCGAAACCCTCAGTGGAATCCTGGGGTCGCCACAAATGCTTGATCCGTTCAGTACATCTTTTCTCCAAATCCCCCCGCAGAATAACATTGAAACACTGGCGCAGGTCAAGAGATTGAAGGTGAGGACAACCATCAAGAATGGCTTGCAAGCCACAATTTGTCAACTTATTCCCCAAAAGCTGAAGGTGGCGTAATTCGTGCATATTTTGTGCAATAACTTGAGCATCCTCATCACTCTCAATGTGTGGTCGCATGTATACCTTCTTGTTGAATTTGAATGATTTCAAATGAGGGCAACAACGACCAACAACTTCCAAAGCATCCGCTGAAATATAAGGGCAGCAGTATGTAATTTCTAGTTCTTCCAGCAATGTAAGTTTCGAAGCTGCTTCTCTCAACCCCTCATCTGAAATGCAAGAGCAACACGCAATTCGAAGGCGTCTGAGACCACTTGATCTTGAATAGCATAAAACACAATACCCAGAATTAGAAGACAGAAAAGAAAACCAGTCACTGTGAAATAACATGAAAAAGACACAATTTAAGGATCAGCCAGGAGCTTGAATTGTACAATGAAATCAATGGAGAAAAAATGGTAAATGTATGGTTGGAGGCATATTCTGGCCAAACAGAAGTTACCCTTCTCCCCATCTAATTCAAAAGTTTGCACCGTAAAAGGCTAATATCCACTTCCACACAGCTTCCTTTCATGTAATGTAATATGCCAGACAGCCAGAAACATCCACGAAGCAACCAAATAGAAAGGAATTATGACTAAGTTCTACAGAGCATTTACAGTCACACGGGCATATGCACATATTTTATTCCACCAATATAATCCAAAGACCTATTTATGAAGCTGTATAAAACCAAAGCAACAAACAAAGGTATTGCAACCACTTATGTAAATAATATCTCCAATACACTTTTTACCTTTACATGTACCGTGCATTATCCAACATTCCCCCCAAAAAAAAAATTCATGAATATGTTATATCATGTCAAGTTTATATCCAATAACACAAACCAGGGTCAGGAACATCAAAAATGATTACTAGCTAACATATTAAATTTAAACCATCTTCAATGAATTTTCAGATAAACCATGATAAATGTAGAACCATCTCCCCTTAGCAAATGAATTGTATGTAAGACAAAAAAGAAAGCTAAGATTTTCTTTTATATCACTCAGAAGTCAGACCCAGTTACTTCATTGTGTACCAATAACTATATCAACATTCTTACTCAATCTTCCCATTTCCTAATTCCTACGACCATGTCAAGAAGATAATATCTCACTACTAGTCAACTAGTCAACCACTTCACAATTCTCAAAGGAAAATTTACATACATATATCTAAAAAAATCAAAAATCAAAAATGAATTTGGCGATATTCATGTACTTGTTGCTCTCTTTATTCATTTTACCTTTCCTCTACTCTACATAGACAAGCCAAGAAAAAAAAAATCATAAAACCCTAACACAGTATTCTGAAAAATTAACTGCCAAGAAATGGAATTGAGGAAGGAGGCAACTTCAAGTATTATCAAAACCGAAAAAAATTTACCTATCAGCTATGTAAACTAGAAGCTCATCGCTACCAAAGTACTCGATATTGATATCAACCAAATCGCCGTTGCTGCGATCGACAGCGTGCATACACATTTGCTCGAGAACATGATCCATGTCATATAAGTAACCCGGATTGCGCATGTCGATGGATCGCCACATGGAGGGGTCCTTGCAGATGTTACGCCACAGGGAACAGACGTTTTGCACGCTCTTCAGTATGTCTATGGCCCCAAGGCGAGAGAAAATCGACGCCGTCACATCCCGCGGCAGCTCCAGCCAGTTGCGTTGCTCCGGTTCGTCAGACATGGCCTGTAGAAATTTTGGTGGAAAACTGAGGGATTTCGGTATACAATCTCGAGCGAGGGAGAAGGAAAAATTAGGGGTTTATTTATTTATGAGATTTAGTCGGTTCATGTGGAAATGGTAAAATGGTAAAATACACTACATTGGAGCCTATATAGTAAGACACAAACCAACCAAATATTTTTCTCTTTTTCGATTTTTTTTGGGTAAAATTTTCTTTTTCGTTGCTGGGCCAATTGTTTCACTTCTTTATTTTATCTATAAAAAAATGTCGAAATATATTAAAAACAATGAAAAAAATTGACAGACGATGTAATGAAGAAGTATGCCCTTCATATAAAAGTCTGTACATATATATATGTATATTTTTTTTCATAACAACGAGAAATAGCATCAAATTAACACACAAGTTCAGGTTCTTGGGGAGCCAACCCCAACAGCATCGGCTATAGAAAACAGTTCATCATTTGCAGGACAATTATATGTTGATTGCAAGATAATTTTTGCTTAGTTACTCATTTATGAAATTTGGGTTCTGCAGGACAGTTATACAGGATAATAGAATTAGATGAAGACTGAGCACCTTCTTGGGCATGGTATCAGTAACCATATTACTCTTTCTGATAAAAGTTTGTATCTGTTAAAGTGATATCATTTGAATTATAAAACTTTAATAACTTATGACAAAAAGTGAAATGTAGTTTACCATAGGCAATTTTTATTTCAGTTAACTATTATAGAGGAGAACTTTTAACATTAAAAATAATATAGTTTGTCTTAAATGAAATGCAATATAGAATTCTTATCTTATTAAAAACACTGTCCCATAAAAAAAAAGAATAAAAACACTAAAAAGTCTAAAATAATAGACATTTATGGTAAAAAATGGTTTTTTTTAAAGAGTAATTTATTGTATTTTTTATTATAAATTTATATAAAAAATAATTTTAATTTTATTAATTATTTAATTAAATCATTCTACATATATTAGTATTAAAATAAAATTTATTTTTATAAATTTTTATTGAAATTAATAATAAAAAAATATGGTAAATACGCCTTAAAAACCCATGTTGAAAAAACATTTTTTTTTTAGCAAAGGCGTCTGGGACTCGGGGGTGACTGATTTTGAAGAGCAGGATAAGAAAACACAGTACTCAAAAGCCATAAAAAGCGATTTGTTATGAAAAGGGACCCAATTCAGAGTCCAGAAGAGGGATTATGGTTTTCTTTTTTTCTTCTTCTTTTTTTTTTTTTTCGGTGGAATGAAATGATAAGATGTAAAATTTAAAACACACTCAATTGAGGGGCTTATGCCAACCAAAATTGGATTACACAAATGTTTTCCCTTTTAATTATATGAAACAATAACTTCAATCTATTAATAATAAATAATATCACCATACAACTCAGTATAATACACATATTAATTAGAGTTAATTTATGTTTTTGTTCGACCCATGTAGGGTCAATATTAATAGAATTTCACCTTTAAAATCTAAATAATGAAAAATAAGATCAAAATTTAAAATCTAAATCTAAATCAATGATGTTGTATAAATTACATCATTTAAAATATTAAAAAATAAATTTTATATTATTTAATAATTAATTATTTTTATATTTTTATGACTCGTAATATTATAAACATCAATTAATTCAATAACGTACCCTAAATCACATCATTAATCTTAAATTTTCATTTTAAATTTTTCACTCATCTTATCATTACTCTTAAAATCCTTGTAAAAAAAACAATTGAAACTAAAGAAAATGACCCAATCATTTCACAATGACTAGTCATAAAAGGCAATTGAGCATGAAATCAATCACTTTGAGTCAAATGGAAAACCTTGTGGCGTGAATGGTTGGATTGGTAAGTGACAAATTTTCAGTCTTCTTTTAAGATTGGAATATTTTGTTGCAAATTTGTCATAATTGAATAATGTGGCTTTGAGTGTGAACCCATCTCAAAACAATTAGAAATTTTCTTCTTCTTCTTTTTTTTTTTTTTTTTAAACTGAAATATGAAAATTAGAATTATTCTTTTTTAGTGAAACTAGGATTGCCGGATAGGAAATAGTATTTTAAAAAGAGAATGTATTATTTCATAATTTAGTATCGATCAAAATTTAAAATACTTTATTATTATTATTATTATTTTGTTAGTAATGAGTTTCCAATCCTCCATTTTAATATCTCTAGCGTATATATATTTTTTAATCGAGCGAAATTGGGACTGCTAGGAGAGGCAAAAACTCACTTTTAGCCTTTTACCTTATTAAGTTTGAAAGTTTTAACCTTTCACCTTATATTATAATAGTCCTCAGTTTAAACTGACTATTAATTCTGTTAGTTGAAAATAGATTTTTATCAACTAATAGTCAACTAATAACTAATTAATAGAATTAACGAAATATTATAAAATTAGTTCTGTTAACTCTATTAATTAAAAAAAGTTTTTAATAGTTAATAATTAATTAACAGTCAGTTAATAAAATTAACAGTCAGCTAACAGAACTAACAAAATGTTACAAAGTAAGAGCTACTTTCTTTAATTTTAATAAGTGAGGGGTTAAAAATATCCTAATATAAGGTGAGAAGCTAAAAATGTCATAATATAAGGTGATGGACTAAAACCTTCAAACTTAACAAAATGAGGGGCTAAAAGTAGGATTTTATCGCTAGGAGAAGGGGGAATTTCCCCATTTTTTAGGAAATGAATTACAAAATTCTGTTCCCCCATCCCCTAAAATTCCCAACTTCATTTTTCAGAAAAAGAAAAAGGAAAAAAGAAGGTCCGAATCCAGCTTGACTCCAGTTCAGAGATAAGCAATCAAAACTTAAAAACACCTTTGATTGCCTTTGAAGTTGCTTTTTTACCCTTCTTTTTCCTATGGTAACTTATAAAAGTACTAATTTATAATGATTAAATTAATTTTAATTATTATTTATATAATTTTATAATCATATTAATATTATATAATTTTTAAAATAATTATTAAATAATATAATTTTATTATAAAATATTAAAAAGTACACAGTACAACACTTTCAACCAAGTCAAACAAAACCTTTATTTTAAAATTACACCAGTCACCAAGCCGAAGCACTCTCACCGTCACCCAAAAAAAAAAAAAAACCACACACACACATGCTTAACACACCACTAAAAAGAAAAAGAAAGAAAGAAAAAAAACACACACACCCCTTAAACTCAACACGCCGGATAGACACAAGTAAACTGGTTTATGCATCAGTTTTTGCTCATTCCTCAGCTAATTAATCAAGCTGAAGTAGCATAATCTCTGCAAGCTTGTCTACTGCTTCTGAGGTACGAAGCATGTCATGGGAATGCTGGTAAATTGAAATCTTCAGCAGGTCCAGCTCCAGTTTAATCGCTTCTGCAGTAGCTACAACTTCCATAATTCCCTCTCTATCACGTCGCATCTCCACAGTTTTGGCTTCCATATTCTCCACCACAGTCTTCTTCGAACAAAATAATTAAAAACCGGGCATGAATCAGTTTGTTAGATATACTAAAAGTTAGATAGAACTTCTTGAGAAAATGAAAGGTATATATATCTTTACTTTGAGCCTGCGCCTTAATGTCCCAGTACCCTTCTTCCCATGAGCCTTACAAGTTTTCGTCGCGAGATTGGAGTTGGTGCGGCAGCGGAGGGCAGAGTTGTGAGGCTTTTTCTTGCTTGCCTTCTTTCCAGCATGTGGACTGTACTAGAGCAGAACAGAGTTCAAAAACCAGAATATACATAAACATTAGGACTAGTTCAAAAGAAATCAGCCAAGTTGGTACTTACTAACTCGTTTTCTAAAAGACTAGCTAGCAACTACAATTCATGAACATAATAAAAAAACAGAGCATGAAGTGAATTCTTACATAAAAAATTGTAAGAAACGTTAATATTTTTAATTTGATGAGTGGTAGCATACCTTGATCCTTGTTGGTGATTTTGTTTTTGATTGATCTCCTTCTTCTCCATAACCGAGGCGTTAAGTTTTCTGCGCAAAAATTGAGGAAAAAGGGGAGTAATGAGAGAAAAGATATTCACAAAGGGAATGATAGCTTCTTTTGGGTTAATCCCATGAGGTATTTAAAAAGAGAGATAGGGAAAACACCAAAAACAGGGTAGAGGACGTTTATGCTTGTTGCTACAGTAGTGTGGACCACTTTCACGCGGAAAGAGGCACTTCCCATGTATACTTGTAATTGAAAATTTCGTTGTATCTTACAATACAGAATCAAAATCCTCTTCCTCGGTTTATAAAACACCGACGTGTAAATTACACTCTGATTCTCCGACTATCCGTGTGTGTTTCCAAGATTTTAAGTTAGCAATGGATGAGTATCGATTTGGCCTAAATATTGATGGTGGTAACAACAATTTTTTTTTTTTTTAAGAATAAATTGTCAATGGAGTTGCTGTTCTTTGGTGGGTTTTTGGGATTGATGTCCCAGGTACACAAAGATTTGTTTGAAATTGCAGCATGTACAAGGGAAAAAAAAAAAAAAACAAGTTTGTTTGCTGAATTCAGGTGCACAGAAACCATATCTATCGGTACGGATTGACAAGGGGCGTGTCCCAACTTGAGGGGGACCAATTATTGATTCCTCTGGATCCTTTCATACAACTTGCCGGAACAAAGCCTCGTCTCGGTCATCTCAGCGATCCCACCACCTGGAAAATGGAGTTAATTTTTTGATAATATGTTCCACAATCCTAATTAAGACAAGAAAATAAAGGGCTCTACAACCTATAGTTAAAAGAAAAAAAATGCTTCAGTGTGATATTAATGAGACACCCCATGTGGCTTGCGGAACCCACGACAACCCCACTCAGACCACCCTGCTCCCTCCTTTTTCTCTCCACTTCCTACCACTTTGCTTTGCATTAATGCAAACCCTAGGTTTTCTGTCGTTTGATATTGACTCGAAGTCTTGAACCAGTTCTCAATCTCAAAGAATTGTCCTTCTCTTAAGATTGCTCCATTGTAGAAAGTTGTAAAGGAAGAAAAGAAGAAAGCTGCTTTTGGGGTGTCAATTAATGGTGGGATCTTCTTTTTGACTGTATGCAGGGTACTAACCCAACACTAGCTAAATTTTTGGTTGAATGAACTAAAATAACCTATCCTTTTTCTACCAAAAAAAAAAAAAAAAACCTATTCTTTAGAAATCAATTCACCGACATGGGTTTTAAAATATTAATCAATTTGTTGTTTTTCTTGTAGATTTTGTGTTAAAAGCTTCGAAGTTGTCCTGTTTATTTGCATGTTAGTCTTTAAGTCAGTTTTCTGGTCCCAATGTTGCTGTTACACAATCATTATGTTTTCATTTGACATCTAATACTTCTTTTATTTGAAGATTTTACACTTTGAGCGTCAATACAAGTATCCAACATGGGTATTAAATTTCTCAAATAGCATATATCCGATGTTTTGAACTTGGTATGGTAATGAACCTATTAGGCAAGTAAGAAACAATTGTTAAGGCTGGTGAGGAAAAGAATAACTGTTCATGCTCATTTCCTTGCTTATAATTGATAGATCGAAAGTCCAAAAGGCTCAAAAGAGTATGCAAAAAGCACAGCAGAGCCTACAGCTTAGTAAGACCCACCAAAAGCAGACTGCTGAGAATAAAACTTCAAAATGAAAATAGAAGCATGACTTTAAAAAAGTTTGATAATAAAAAAGCGCAACTTAAATAATCCTACATTGCAGCAAAATATCATATAAAATCTCGTAACAATAATCAGCTTTTGGCTTATCTTGCTCCTTAGACAGTGGAAGACAAAATGCCCTCGCACCGCGGACACCTGGAAAACCCAAATGAAATAATTAATATAAAGCCTCGCACCTTATGTTTTTTCATTATCAAGGGATGAAAACAATTTTTTTTTTTTTAAAAAAAGGAAAGAAACATGCTATTTGAGAAAAATAAACATCTGACCTCGTTTCCTCATCCTTGCAAATTGCTGCTTCATCTTCAAAGTTAATTATATATACATAAAAATAAAGTACGATTTGTATCTGTATCAATAAAGTACAATTTATCATATACTAATTATATTTTTTATAATTAAAAATAAAGAGGTGAAATCTCCTAATATCAAAGACTAATATCTTTATTACTAATTAAGAATAATATAATCTGTTTTGTGTCGTAGCACTGATCTCTTGTATATAAAATCATATTCATCTAAAAAGTCATCAATTTCTTGGGGAGAGAAGTAGTCCCTACCATCTGAGAACTCAAGTTGATAATCATTTGTCTCCATCAGATATTGAATCTATGGCAGAAAATCCAGATGGGCCATCTTCATCACCTAAACAATTAGATGGTACGATCCTAAATGTCGCTTGCTTCTATTTTCACAGCAAAAGTAATCAAGACATTGGTTCTATTTTTTTTTTTTTTTCGTTAGATTGGATAACTTAAATAATTAGATAATATAGTTTTAAACGTTGAGTTGTGTAATATTTTAAAAACATTTCAACAACACTAAATTAATTGCTCCCTTTTTTTCATTGGGGCTATTGGTTTTTATTTTTGACATTACTTTGCAGTGCTGAATTTCTATGCAATCAAAAGTGTAATTTTAACTTTCAGAAATCGGACTCAATTGGGCCAATTTAACCGGCCTCCTAATACTAACCCCTAGATTCTAACAGATTCAGAGCCCATAAGACCAAAAGAGTGTAGAATGGCAAAAGCCCATCATAGGCAAACTGCTGTTTAACAAAAGGATTAGTTATAAGTAGCGAAGCAAAACAAGGAGCCTCTCAAAAACTGTTGCGGGGTATGCAGCCTTCACAATAAAAATAGGAACATGCCTTAAATCAAGTTTAATGAAAAAAGATGCAGCTTTATTAGAGTGCATTGCAGTAGCATCAAAAAAATATCTACAAGCCATCAAGAAACATCCTGCAACCCATAGTTTTTCAGCTTATTCCCAAAATGATGGAGGCGGCATAATTCATCCATTGTTGTGATGACTTCAGCTTCTGCTTCCTCATCGGACTCAATGCTGTGCGTATACCTCCATTGTTGAATTTGAAAGATACTAAGCGAGGGCAACAGCAACCATCAACATCCAATGCTTTTGCAGAAAGATTGAAGAATGAAATTTTAGTTCTTCCAGTAATCTAAGTTTTGATGCTGCTTTGCAAAATCATCTGAAATCTTGTGGACTGATATTCGGCTTTTGGCTTATCTTGATCCTCAAACAATGGCAGACAAAATGCCCTACCTTATACACCTGCAAATCCCAAATGCAATCATCAATATAAAGCCTCTTATCTTATGTTTTTTCATTATCAAAGAAAGGAATTAGAAAGGAAAAAAACATGCTATGTGGGAAAAGGAAACATCTACATACCAGTTTCTGCTTCATCTTCAAAATTCATCAATCATCATAAAAGTATTCATCAAAATAGTCATAATTGTAGGGCCCATTGGGGTTGTTATTATCTGAGTACTCAAGTTCGTAAACATAGTCCCCATCAGACATTGAATCACTGTAAGAAAATTCGGATGGGTCATCTTCATCATCATCGTCATCTTATAGAGCAGATTTGTGGTAAACATCATCAAGTTTGTAGTCTTTAGTAGAATCTTTGGGTCGCCGTATATGTTTGATATGTTTGATATGTTTGGCACATCATTTCTACAAATTCCCTGGCAGACTAACATTGGAACAATGGCGCAGGTCAAAGGATTTAAGGTGAGGACAACCATCGAGAATGGTCTCCAAGCCACAGTTTGTCAGTTTATTCCCAAAAAGCTGGAGGTGGAGCAATTCATGCATATTTTGTGAGCAATTCATGCATATTTTGTGCGCAATAGCTCTTGCAGCTTTATCACGAGAGCTGTCCATGTTTGTGAATCCATGGCGATCTCTATCCTGTTTATTGTATTTGAATGATTTCAAATGAGGGCAATGACGACCGACAACTATCAGAGCAACTGCTGAAATTGAGCAGTATGAAATGTCTAGTTCTTCCAGCAAGGCAGGTTTCTTAGCAGCTTTGCACAATCCCCTATGTGAAACCTCATGGCAAGAAACAAGACGAGGGCGTCTGATATGACTTGATCTTGAAAAGCATTCAGACAAGACATAAAAACTATCTCACTAACATAATATAGTATGAAAAACACAAGTTGAATCAGTTTTTCATGGTACCAAAAAAATACATATCATTTACTTGCCACATATATCAGTTGTAAACCTAGGCCAGCACGACTATCAATAAACGACAAGGTTATAAATGATCAAAACTAGGAAAACGTATTTAGCTGTTCTGGACTAATGAACTGTTTGTTGTTCATGTAAATAAACAAAACTACCAGGTTAAATGGTCTAAAATTTGAGTAGTGGCACGCTCAACGGTTATAAAAGTAGATTTCATCAGAGAAGATGTAAGTCGTCAGAAAAAATTTAGCTTTCCTCTCCTCTACATAGACAAGCCAAGAGGAAAAAAAAATTCATAAAATCCTAACACGGTATCCTGATAAATTAACTGCCAATAAATGGAATTGAGGAAGGAGACAACTTCAAGTGTTATCAAAACCGAAAAAAATTACGTATCAGCTATGTAAGCTAGAAGTTCATCGGTACCAAAATGCTCAATATTGATATCCACCAATTCGCCGTTGCTGCGATCGACGGCCTGCATACACATTTTCTCGAGATCATAGTTCATGTCATGTAAGTCACCCAGATTGCGCATGACCGCATGTCGATGGATCGACACATGGAGGGGTACTTGCAGATGTTGCACCACAGAGAACAGACGTTTTGCAGGCTTTTCAGTATTTCTATGGCCCCAAGGCGAGAGAAAATCGCAGCTGTCACATCCCGCTGCAACTCCAGCCAGTTGCGTTGTTCCGGTTCGTCGGATATGGCCCGTAAAAATTTGGTGGGAGGCGTACAATCCGGAGAGAGGAAAATAGGAAAATCAGGGATTTATTTATGGAATTTTGACGGTTCATGTGAAAATGGTAAGTAAAATGGTAAGATAAACTCAATTCAGGGCCTAGAAAGTTGTAAAAGGACAAAAGCTAACCGAGGATTTCGGCTGGGTTATTCTCACTCTTTATTTTGTTAAGCTAACTATTGTATTTGTTATTTAGGGGGCCAAAAATTGTCAAGGCTTGCTGGAAGGTGGTGTGGTTTGCAGTAGTGTGGTCGGTTTGGATATGCAGGAATGAGCATGTTTTCAGAAACAAAGTAGTCAGTGAGGATAGATTATTTGATTTAGTTCAGACCAGAGCATATCTTTTTTGCAAAAAAAATGGAATGGGTTTAAGTATATATCTTTTATGGAATGGTGTTTACAACCAAGGCAGGTCTTACACGATAAGGGTAATTAAGCAGCTTAAATTTTAAATGGGCTTTTGATTGAGTATCAATGTATTTACTCAAATTGCCATATATGGGTTAGAGCACTTTTTATATTTAAAATTTAATAAAAATAAGTTTGCCTTTCAAAAAAAAAAAAAAGTTATTGTATTTGTTATTTTACAATTTATAATTTTTTATACTAATTTCTCATATTAATTTGAAGTTAAATTGAGTAAGATTTTATTGAGATTTTTTTTTGTTATTAATTTTTTTTTTCAAATTTGTTTCTTTATTTAAAAATTTTGAATTTAAAACTTTATTTAATGAGAATTAAGCTTCTTTTATTCTGATTAAAAGTCATTAAAGATCTTCTCATTTCTAGCAAGCCATATTGTCCAAATAGTACCAAACCAAATGCATTCCCATCCCTCCTTCAATTTCGCCCTTTTTAATAAATTTGAGTGCTGCTCAAACACCTTCAAGCAATCTTTATCAAGCACGGATATAATTCTCCACTAGTTGAAACATTCATTCCAGAGAAGCCAAGCAAATTTACAGTGAATAAGGAGGTGGCTATAGTCCTCTGTTTCCTTACCGCACATAACACATTTGCATTCTTCAAGAGCTTGAATAATACCTCTTTTGTGCAGATGAAGCTTTGTGGGGATTTTGTCCTGCAGTAGTTGCCATGAGAAAGTCGAGATTTTGTTGGGTATCAGCTTGTTCCATATATTTTGGAGTTCCATTCCATGCTAATCCGATCCACCCTCCATTGTGAGTGTTTGATATGCTGAGCCTATCGAGTAGCCCCCATCTTTGCTGTGAGCCCATTCCCATAGGTCTGGTTACCTTTTATTAAACTTGTGTCTTGGATGTCCTTTTGTAATTCTTCTACTTGTTGAGTTTCCCAATTGAAGAGGTTTCGTCTCCATTGAAGATTCCATTTCCAGTTGCCATTGACCCATTCTCCCATTTGAAGAATTTTGCTATCCTTCCCTATAGATAAAGAGTAAAGTCTTGGATATTTGTTAGCGAGGCACCCTTCCCCTTTCCAGTTATCCCACCAGAAACCAATGCTAACCCCTTCGCCTACTTTTAATTTAAAACCATCAACAACCCATCCCCTTTTTTCCCCTTCTATTGCATTTATTCTACAAATGTCCCTCCACCAGTTTGTCCCATTATTGCTACCCTCTCTCAGCCAATTATAGCTAGGTTCCCCCCCTTCCCATATTTTTCAAAAATGATTTTTTTCCATAGCCCTTTTTCCTCCGACACTAGTCTCCCCCACCATTTTCCTATGAGAGCCATATTAAACTTCCTTAAGTCTTTTACTCTTAAACCACCTTTCTTCTTATCCTTACACACCGTTTCCCATTTAACCTAATTAATCTTCTTACCCCATTCAGTCCCACCCCATAAAAACCTTCTACGAATTTGATCAAGGAGTAGAATCGTACCTTTGGGTATTAAGTATACCGACATCCAGAAGACCGGGAGACTAGAGAGCATTGAGTTAATAAGAGTAATCCGCCTCCGAGAGAAAAATGTCGACCCCTCCATTTGGATAATTTACTTTTGAAAACATCTATCAACGGTTTCCAGAAGGCAATCTTCTTACAGCTTCCCCCAATAGGGATCCCTAAGTATTTAAAAGGAAATGACCCCTTTTTTGCAGCTCAGCACCCATGACATTTTTTCAATCCATTCTTCCTCCACGCAAATGCCAATTAAATGGCTCTTATTGAAATTGATCTTCAGTCTCGATACCAATTCAAAAGATCTCAAAATTGCCTTCATTGCCTATACATTTTCCTCAATTGCTGATCCGAATAGAATAGTATCGTCTGCATATTGTAAATGTGAGACTTTGAAGCCTCCTGAGCCCACCTCTACTCCTTGTAATAGATCTTTTTGGACTGCTGTCGATACCAGGCCATTTAACCGCTCTGTAATGAAAAGAAATAGGAAAAGGGATAAAAGATCTCCTTGCCTTAAGCCTCATGATACTGAGAATTGTCTTGTTGGACTTCCATTAACCAGGATTGAAACCATACTTGTTCTTAAACACTCCCGTATCCAATTCCTCCACTTGACACAAAAGCCATCCTCTGCATCGTATAATCCAGGAAATCCCAACACACCTTATCATAAGCCTTCTCAAAGTCAATCTTGAACAAGAAGGCCCTTTTCTTCTTCTTTCTAGCTTCCTCAACCACCTCATTTACGATCACTACTCCATCCATTAGTTGTCTTCCCTTTAAGAATGCCATCTGTTGTTCTCCAATTATCCCATTAAGAACCTTTTTGAGGCGGTTGGCTAATATCTTTGCAAGAATTTTGTAAATAACTCCAATGAGGGATATGGGTCTATAGTCCTCAATCTTTTGGGGATTATCAACCTTCGGCATGAGGACAATGAATGAGTTATTTATCCCCTTCACCAACTTGCTATTTTCTTGGAATTCTTGGAGGAATTCAACCACATCTTCCTTGATAACCTCCCACTGGTCTTTTACAAACTTGAAGTTAAATCCGTCTAGGCTTGGTGCTTTTGAGCTGTCGCAATTCCGTATAGCTTCTTTAATCTCCTTTTTAGAAAAAGGACCAATTAATGTTTCATTGTCATCTTGAGAGATTTTCTTGAAAACTGCCCCCTCAAATCTTGGTCTTTCTTGCTTTTCTTCCTTGTACAAATGTTTGAAAAAAGAAGAAATCTCCTCTTTCATTTTACTCGCTTCCATAATTTGGGCTCCATTTACTTGTACACTGTTAATTTCGTTCCTTCTCCATCTACCTTTAATACAATTATGAAAACACCTTGTGTTGGCATCACCCATCATCAACCATGTTTTCCTTTATTTTTGTTGCAGCATGCTTTCTCTGTACTTAATGTTATCCCGCAAGAATTATGAAGGCTTCCCTTCTTCTTTTGATTTCCTCCTCCGAGAGTTGTTCTGCTTCTCCTTTCAAATCAATCTGGGCGATTTTTGCAGTGGCATTGTTTTTTTTGTGGTCAATTTCAGGAACAAATTTCTTGCTCCAACTTCTTAGGGCCTCCTTTGTCAGCTTTAGCTTCTTTTTGATTCGCTATCTTGCCTAGCCTTGAATATCTACCTTACCCCATGTTTCTTTAATCAGCTCTCTACAACCTTCTTGCTCTATCCATGTATCAAAGAATTTGAACAGTTTAGGCCCCCAGTCAACTTCTTGTTGTTTGAGCATAATTGGGCAATGGTATGATATTATTCTATTTAGTCCCCCTTGCTTGGCGTCACCCCATGTAGTTAACCACCCTTCCGATAGTAAGAACCTATCAATTCTGCTCATGGAATGTCCACTAGCCTATACCTATGTGAATTTTCTCCCAACTAGTGATAAATCAACCAATTTCGTGTCTTGGATGAAGCTATCAAACTCCCTCATCTCAGTTGTTATTTCTC